GGGTCCGAGCCCTGGTCCGGGAAGATCCCACATGCCACAGAGCAACTAATCCCTTGCGCCACAACTACTGAGCCTGCGCTCTAGAGCCTGTGAGCCACAACAACTGAGCCCGCGTGCCACAACTACTGAAGCTCGCACACCTAGAGCCTGTGCTCCGCAACAAGAGAAGCCACTGCAATGAGAAGCCCGCACACCACAACGAAGAGTAGCCCCCGCTCGCTGCAACTAAAGAAAGCCTGCGCACAGCAACGAAGACCCAATGCAACCTAAAATAAATAAATTAAAAAAAAATTGATACGGGGAGTAAATAAGATCATTCATGTGTAGTGTCTGAAGCACAATAAGCTCAATAATATTAAGTGTTTCTAAAAAGTTAAAGCAAAATGGAATAACAATGTCTACTTCATAGGTTATTGTGAAGATAAAATGAGAGCTCTTCGAAAACTAAAGTACCCTAAAAATGAGGCACTAGTTAAAATGTCAATTCATTTCCACTAGATGGCAGTAGACATCACAAAATAGAGCTGAGCCCAACTAAACAAAGAGCTGAGGGAGGAAATACAGGATAGTTTTCATAGAGTTACTTACTTGGCCTAGTCCCACTTCCGTGATTATGCGGAAATGTGGATGAAGGGCATATGTTATTTCAAATGAGTGAACTACCTGCTTGGGCTTAGGAATCTTTTTGTTTGATGTAGACTGTATTTTCCAGACTAGACCTGGACTGAACCAGGGAGTATGTCACAGATCAACACTGACACACAGATATAGGAGGCAGAAAAGAAACAGATCTGCCAATGTACTAACTTGTTGTGCCTCCTTGGGCAAATTATTTCTCATCTCTAAACCTCTCATTAAGGTTTGCTGAATAGCCACAAAAATCTGTATGTATTGTAGAATCAGTCAATATGTCAAAGGGAGTTTCTCAAGGGAAAAAAAAATAATCAGTAAATAAATGTTCTCATACTATACTAGTTACTTTTAGAGGTCATTGATGAATAAGTCTCAGAATAACCTTTCTTTTTTTTGCTAATTTCTTAAAATATTATTCTTGTAATACAAAATGATACTTTTAATTTTTTAAACACTGTACATGTTGTATTAGTTTGCTAGGGCTGTCCTAGCAAAATATCACAGACCAGGTAGCTTAAACAACAAAAATGTATTATCTTACAGTTCTGGAGGCTAGATGTCAAAGATCAAGGTTTGTTTCCTTCCGATGCCTCCGTCCTTGTCTTTCAGATGGTCATCTTCTCTCTGTGTCCTCACATGCTCATCCTTCTGTGTTGTCTGTGTCCTAATATATTTTTATAAGGACACCAGTCATACTGGATTAGGGTCCACTCTAATGACACCATTTTAACTTAATTAAATCCCCAAATATGGTCACATTCTGAGGTACTTGGTGTTAGGACCTCAATGTAACTTTGGGGCAGAGACCCGGTTCAGCCCATGACACATGCACTGTTTGTTAAGAAAGTAGCAGTGGGCTGCTTGTACTCCATCCCTCCTGCCTCATTTTCCAATTCCTGGAAGAATCCAATTTGTACTCTTTTTTTTTTTTTTGTGGTACTCGGGCCTCTCACTGCCGTGGCCTCTCCTGTTGCGGAGCACAGGCTCCGGACGCGCAGGCTCAGCGGCCATGGCTCACGGGCCCAGCCACTCCGCCACATGTGGGATCCTCCCGGACCGGGGCACGAACCCGCGTCCCCTGCATCGGCAGGCGGACTCTCAACCACTGTGCCACCAGGGAAGCCCCTCCAATTTGTACTCTTTTAACTAATTATTTGAGCAGTTAACTTCCCATCTCTAAATAATATGTATATAATGCTTCTTCTTGGTTTTTCAGGTTTAGATTTCATCCCTTGATTTTTACCATGAAAGACGTAACTCTGTCATACCTCCCATCACTCGCATTACCCACATACACACTTCTTCGCCTCCCATTCTCCCAAAATAGTGAATCATACTTTTGGATAGATCAATGACTGAACAACTTTGTTTTTCCTGAAGCCAATTACTGTCTTTTTTATTTGCTTAGTTTTCTATGTACTTGTTGCACATCAATCCCTAAACTTTACCCCTTTGATGTCAATCTCATCTCAATTACTGTAAGACACATTTCTTATTCTATCTACTTCCTCCTCTAGAACCTGCCTCCAGGGGCCTCTTGCTTGTTCCATTCTGGATTGGCTGAACTCTAGGACTGCTATACTGCTGCCTACTAATTCCTTTGCTTCTCTCTTGGGTTGGAATTCCTGTTTCCTGGGTCCTATGTCTTCCTCTTTTTGGTCTACTTTCCTGTTGTGATGTCAGTTTAATATTTCAAAGATTTACTTATTCACCAAATATTTTTTGAGCTTGTGTCAGGCACAGTGCTAGGCACTAGGGTTAGAGAAGTAAGAGAAATAGAAAATGTCACTGCCTATAGGCTCGTGATGTCCAGCTCTGTAACAACACAGTGGCCAATGTTATGTGAGTTCGGGGCAGGTACATAATCACTTACAAACTGAATAACTGTCTTTGTTACAGATGCCATCATGGAGAAGATGGCAAGAGACAAAAATTTATTGAGTCCACTGTGTCCTAAGTTCTTTATGTACATGTTCTCATTTAATACTCCCAAGATTCTATTATTATAATACCCGTTTTATAGGGGGAAGGCAAAAGTGGAAGCTCTGGGATTAAGAGCTTGTAAAGTAACTTGCAGAGCAAGTATCTGACTGCAAAACTCTTTATAGCCATGTTATACTAAGAAATGAATGCATGCAAAACCAGAAATCAAGGTTTAATTCCTTCTTAACCAAAGAGCCATTTTGTTTATGCATGCTGGTGGTTTGTTGTTTTTTTTTTCTGTGGACCATACTTTTAGGTAAGCTAAGGTCCCGACTCCGTAGGAATCCATTTATTCATTTAACAAATATTTGTTGAGCAGTACTCTTCTAGGTGCTGGAAATACGCCATGAACCAAAAAAGAATCACTCCCCTTTAGGAACTGACATGAGGATGTCATAAATAAATTTTTTTTAAAAGTCAAGTTGAGATAAACCCTATGGGGGAGGGAAAATAAGGCAGGCTAAGGAGAATAGAAAGGTGGGGCACTATGGTTTTATAGGATGGTCAGGGAAGGCTCTTCTGATATGGGGACATGTGAGCTGCAACAGAAGGAAGGGATGGAGGGAGCTCCATAGATATGTAAGCAGAGGGAAAGGCAAGTGCAAAGGCACTAGGGTGGGAACAGGGTGGGGCTGGGGAAGAGTGAGTCAGGGGAGAGCAGTAAGAGACCAGCAGAGGCCTTGGCGGCTATAGTAAGAACTTTGGTTTCCTCCTAAGACAACGGAGGTGGGAAGATACTTGAGGGGTTTTGACATGATCCCCAGAAGACTCGGAAGTTTCATAGGCTACTCACTGCCCACCTCTGGCTCCCCTTTCATAGCAAAATTCACAAGGACTGTCTATACTCTCTGTCACTACTTTCTCACCTCATCCCTTCAACCGAGCCATTTGGGCTCTGGAACCCATCACTTCTCTTAAAAAGATCTTATCAGGGTCGTCAGTGACTACAATCTCGCCAAAGCTCATGATGATGCTCAGTCCTCCTAATTCCCAACCTTGCAGCAGCAACTCACATGGTTGCACTGCTGCTCCACAGTTCAGCAACCCCAGACTCTAGTTTGGTTTTCTTCCTTCTTCACTGGCTTGTTCCTTGTTCTCCATATCTGTCAGAGTTCTGCACAAAGTAGTGCCCCAGGGCTCTGACCTCTGACCCACGCGGTACTCTTCCCCTGGGCTTTGGGTCAGCATACCATTGATATGCTGATGACTTCTGCATTTATATCTCTAGCTCCAAATTTGTAATGCCAACTGCCTTGTCTACATGTCCACTTGGAGTTCTAATAGGCACCCTCTCCAAAAGTTCTTCATCACAGAAATGGCATCACCACACACCCATCTGTTCAGGACAAAATCCCAGGAAGCATCCTTAATTCTTCTCTTCACTCCAATTGGTTCTGCCTCCAAAAGACATCCTGAATCTGACCACATCTCACCAGTCCCCTGTTAGCAACCAGTTCAAGCTGCCACCATCCCTTGCCTGGATTACTGTAAAAGCCACCGAATTTCTCCCCCCCCCACCTCCACTCTTACCTATCTCCTCCATTCTTCATCCAATCTCTTAAGACGTAAGTATCAGGGCCATGCCCCTGCTTAAAAGCCTCCACTGGCTTCCCACTGCAACAGGAACAAATCCAAACCCCTCATCATGGCCTACATGACCACACATGTTCATGACCTTGTGGTTCCATCTCCCTCCCCATTCCCCCTCCCTCACCTAGGGCTCCAGCTGAACACACTGAGTTGGTTCCTGCCTCTAGTTTTCCGCACTCGCTTTTCCTTGAGCCTGGAATACTTGTCCCCAGGGTCTTCACCAGGCTTCTTTCTCATCCTTCAGCTTTCAGCTCAACTACATCTGAAAGGCCTTTCCTGACCTCCCAATGGAAAGTCTTCTCCCCACTCTCAACTCTCTAGCACTTAATTTTCGAAATTATTGTATTCACTTGTTTTGGAGTTCCCTCTGTTACCTCTCCCCCAACACCTACACTGGAAAGCTTCCAGACAGCAGGGACGCTTTTAAGTTCCGCCACAAACACTGCTTGGTACAGAGCAGATGCTGAAGAAACTGAGGTTGACTGAGAGCCCACAAGCTTATCCAGGGCTCTTACAAGGTTCTGGTTTGCTGCAGGGAGAGGTGGCCCTCTAACTGCTTACTCTCATCCTCAGCGGGGTGAGGAGATGGGGGGCTAGCCACCACCCCTCCTCTGCCTTCCCCTCCCCACCCACGCGCCTTTCCTGCCCCTCCCCCCTCCTCCTACCTGCTCTGTTCTTCCTCCTCTTACTCGTCTCTCCTTCACCCCACCCTGTCGCGTGTCCGACCCGAGGGCACTCTCCGTGTCGCACGGGCGCTGGAGCGCAGGGACCCGACCGCCGGCCGCGGAGGGAGGATGGCGCTCGAGGCACTGCGCTTGGGGCTGTTGCTCCTGGTCTGCTGGGACTCGGCAGGTAACGCTCACCTGTGGGCCTGCTCCGCGGAGGACCAGCCGAGGAGTTACCGAGAGGGGGTCTCGCTGGCGACTGCCCCTGCCCGGGTCCGGACAGCGGTGTCCCTCCGCGCAGCCGTTACTGGCGGTTCCAGGCCCGCCCCGCGGTTGTCTAGGGACACGAACTTGGGGGTGTGCGGGGCTGGCGTTGTGAAGCCAGCAACCCTCTTTAGTCCCAGCATCTTCTTAGTGACCCTGCTGTCTGCTCTTTCTCCCTTAAAGCAGATTTCCTGGAGCCCAAGATCGGGAGTTGGGTTTTTATGTACCAGGGGCCCTCAGCGGGAGATGTACAGGAATCAGGAATTGTGAACGCCAAGGGCGCCGGGCACTCTGGGGCTCATGAGAAAGGGGCCTTACTTAGTCCAGCCAGACTTGATGCCCATTTAAAATGGAGTTGAGGTCTTCCCTGGTGGCGCAGTGGTTGAGAGTCCGCCTGCCGATGCAGGGGACACGGGTTCGTGCCCTGGTCCGGGAAGATCCCACATGCCGCGGAGCGTCTGGGCCCGTGAGCCATGGCCGCTGAGCCTGCACGTCCGGAGCCTGTGCTCCGCAACGGGAGAGGCCACAACAGTGAGAGGCCCGCATACCAGAAAAAAAAAAAAAAAAATGGAGTTAAAGTGGTAACACCTAATGTCAAATTTTGCATTTATTACCTTGAGCCACAGAGGAAAAGAACATCGTGAATTATTGAGTTTCTTCTCTAACTTTTATTCGGTAGCTCCAAAGTTTCTCAAGCAATTCTATTAGGGTGGTCAGTTACGGAACCAGTACCAAATGTTCTCCGTGTGCCTGCTAGGAGAGGTGCCAGAACACAGCTGAACATACTTCTTAGGGGGGGTTCAAAGAAGCTAGGCATCGGAGGGAAAGGGAAACACATGGCCCGTATAAATCACAAGCTGAATTTTAAAAAACCCTTATGAACAAGAATTGACCTTTATTAACCCCATGCTTTAAAGTGTCTGTTTCCTTCTTGCAGCCTCTTTGAACACTCAGTTTGCTCACCCTTCAGAATACAGAACAGTAAGTAGGAAACCACTTGTATTGTTTCTACTGATACAGCGAAGCCCTCAAGAGTTTGGGTTGGGGGCTGGTTTTCAGGTCTGACCTGCCACTTTCGAAACAGTGGACTGCTTCTTTAGAAACCAGATTCTCAGGCAGGCTTTTTGATACGGATCACGATGTAAAATTTGGTTGACAATAGCTCAGGCCTTGAAGGCCTCAGGGCTTTGTTTCCCTAATAGTTACACCTTGTACTAGACATTTTATGTATATTATCAAATTAAATTCTGTGTAAGCAAGCGAAGGTCGAGCAAATGAGAAGAAGCAAAAGCTAGTTATTCAGAGCTTGTTGAAGCAAGTGAATCAGGCATATCACCTGCATTTTGGCAGAAACTCAAAGGCAGAGGAGGGGGAAAGCTTTAAAGTGGGAAAAAGGGAAGGCATCAGGTGTGCCCTGATCAAGGCTGTTGGCATGGGGAGGCTGTAGGTGGGTAACTAAAGGCAGGAATCCTATGTGATTGGTTAGGAGGGCATATTGGCTTTCTCTGATTGGTCCTAAGTTGGAAGCAGGAACAAAAATTTAGGGAAACTATCAGTTATTAATCAAGGCCTGGCCATTTTGGCCAATCGTTACAGAGCTTACTCTTTGGCTGATTGGACTGTCTCTAGAGATAACCATCTGACTTCTGACAAGTCTAATTTATAGCAGGTTGGCTTCTTGGGTTGGTTATTCTAAGTAATGGGTTGGTTTCCTAGGCAAGTTGCTACAGGTTATGGGTCAGAGTTCTATTTTAATATGTGGTCTGACACTGTCCATTTGTATATGCAGTCTCTCAATTCTCACAATGACCTTGTAAGATAGATAGATATTATTATTTTACATATGGGGATATTGACCTCCGTGGATTAGGTAACTTTGAGTATTCAATTCAGTGTAGACCTTTCCCAGGAAATCTTCCCACTCTGTTTTTTTTCCTCCAAAGCAGATATAAATGCACTTTCTCCATGCTTCCATTCAAACTATACTGCATCATCATCATTACCATGCTAGTGTAGGGAGGAAAAAAATCTTTCCTCTACCCTTCTAAGTTCTCAGCTGGGGCACCTATAACAAAGGACAGGTTAACAAGAGAAAAATAAACAAACGTTTATTAACAAGTGCATTGTGCATACACATGGGAGCACTCAAGAGATGAGTAACTCAAAGAGGTGGCTTAGAAATCTGCCTTATATAGCATCTTTACCAGAGAGCAATAAGTTTGTAGATAAATGACAGGACAAAGGAAAATGGTTTTAGGCTTCCAAGGGTGGCAAACAGTGGGAAGAAAAATAGTGGGAGGGAACTAATGAAGTAAGGTTTGCTTGCAGATTCCTCAGGTGCCATTTCTGGGCTGATAAAGAGTCCAGAGTCATCTCCACTAAAGGAGAATTTATATCCTGCCTTTAGGCAGAAAAGGGGAAGAGAGAGAGAGCTGCATATTAACTGCCTTTAGTGCAAAGTAATTTTTATGTCATAGAGCCATATTTTGGGGGTGACATTCTGATTTTCTTCAACACTAAATGTTTAGATACCATTTACTATGTGCCAAGCACTGTTCTAAATTCTTTATATAGAATAAGTCATTTAATTTTTTTTTTTTTTGGCCACGCAGCAAGGCTTGTGGGATCTTAGTTCCCCAACCAGGGATTGAACCCAGGCCCTTGGAACTGAAAGTGTGGAGTCCTAACCACTGGACAACCAGGGAATTCCCTCATTTAACTTTTCACAGCACTATGAAGTAGGTACCATTATTAGCCCCTTGCAAGGTCACATGGAAATGGTGCAACTATGGGTCCAACCCAGGCATTCTGACTCCAGATTGGTGCTCTTCACTAGCCCATCATAGCACTGAATTGTAATAGCCTGTCTTCCCCTAGTAGGCGGTATACTCCTGTGGTCATGGATGATGTCTTATTTGTTACCCAGTCTTATTTGATACCCAGTCTTCAGCACTTAATGGGTGCCCAATATTACTTTTGCTCAGATGACTCAGTTTTCTTGGGTTTCATTTTCTTTCAGAAAATGGGGGATAATAACAGTAGAAACTCAATCAGGCATCCTGCATTTAAGCAGACTCACATACGACCCTCTCCTTTCTCTCTGAACGATTCCCACAGCAGATCGATTACTCACTGGTTATAGACAGGTTACCTTCTTGCTTAACTACTCTCCTGTATTCCAGTAAAGCTTATTTTCCATCAGTGGTGTTATGTGCTGACCAAGACTCAGGTGTGTGTGTTCACAAGCCTATTATGCCAGTTGCCAGACCTATTTTAATTAAAAATGTAAAGACAGCATAAACATGAGTGTAGAGAAATAAAGCTGTTTATATGAGAAATGAGTCAAATGATTTTGAAAGACTTGCTGAAAGACAAAATGCTAAAAACAAATTGAATTAGGTGTAGGTAAAACAACTGAAAATAATTGGGGAATTAATTTTTAAAATTGTATATTACCTTGCTGTGCCAGTGTCTATAAAGTCTCTGCCCTCTAAAAAGGGGCAGTTTTACCCCCCAGCAGACATTTTGATTGTCATGACCAGGGAGTTGTCACTGGCATCTAGTGGATAGAGAACAGAGATGCTACTAAATATCCTACAGTGCACAGCCTCACACAGCAAAGAATTATCTGGTCCAAAATATGAATGGGGTTGAGAAATTCCATTTTAAAGAAATCAAAACAGGAAATCATAGGTGATTTATTGTGGGTATGATTTTTGCAGTGTTAGTACACAAAACTCTAGTTGAAACATTCATAGGAAAAGTCTTATGTCTTGTGTCAGGTAGGATTAGATTCAGCTGCAAGAAACAACGACTCAAAATAACAGCTCACAGAGCTGCCATCTTAGGATGTGGCTTTTGTCTTCCTGGTCTGTAAGATAAAAAGTAGAGCTCCATGCACCCAGGAGTAGGATGGAGGAATGGACAAAGGAGAATAAAAATTGGGAGAAGCAGAGGACAGGTACCAACTTTCTTTTAAAGGAGGTTCCCAGACGCTACTACACAATAATTCCACTGGTATCCCATCAGCCTGATCTTGATCATGTGGTCATACCTAGCTGCAAGGGAGGTTATCTTAGTGTAGGTAGCATTACAGCTGGCCATGTGCCCTGTCTTTGCCTTACATCAAAAGAGTGGCAATTTTATTTTCATTTATATGTTTTAAGATAAAATATTTAGGGTATGTTATATTTTTTGTTACTGTTTATGTGCTTTAATTGACTTTTCCAGTTAAATGACCAAGAACCACTTGTCCCAATCTCATTGGATAAGAGGGCATCTACTCTCCTGTGGAAGCCCTGGAAGGCATCATCTTAGTGAGCCTGGAGCTGCAAGAAACACATCAGGCTCCAAAATGGAGATAGAGGGCTGAACGGAGGATGGAAAGGGTCAAAAAAGTTCTTCACTTCAGAGTTTGGCCCAAGTCCAGCCCTGCTTAGCACCTTATAAATCCAGATAATGTCAGTAGAAGTGTGTAATTCATTTATTAAGAGTGCTAAACAGTGTGACTTACTCTGAAGTGAGGAAAGGTAATCACTATTTACTAAAACATACACGCACACACAAAACAGAAATACAGCAGGCCATATATTTAACCTGTTATTAAAGTGGGACTCTGCACACCATGGTGTGACCATTGTGACCATTTCTAGTCCTGGCCCTGCTAGAGACTAGTGGCTGTGCACAAGACATGTTACCTATCTGGCCTCAATTCCATGAAATCTGAGGGTTGAGTTCCATGACCCCATATCGGTTTCTCAGGGCTGCCGTAATAAAGCCACAGACCGAGTATCTTACACAACAGAAATGGATTGTCTCACAGTTCTCAAGGCTAGAAGTCCAAACTCAAGGTGTTGGCAGGGTTGCTTCCTTCCGAGAGAGGAAGTTCTCTTCCTCTAGCCTAGTATCTGGTAGCCTCAGGCATTCCTTGGCTTGTAAATGACATTCTCTCCATGTCTTCACACAATCTTCCCTCTGTGTGTGACTCTGTGTCCAAATTTTCCCTTTTTATAGGGACACCAGTCATACTGGATTAAGGCCAATTCTACTAACCTTAAGTTGATTACCTATATAAAGACCCTATTTCCATATATGGTCACATTCTGAGGTACTGGGGGTTAGGACTTTAACCTATCTTTCTGGGTGGACACAGTTAAACCCATAACCACCCCTGAGATCTAATTCTGAACCTACTGCTTTCTTTAATGCTGTTGCTTAAATGCCAGTATCTTAAAAGTCCAGACAGGATTCCCGAGTGTGTCTGGGCATTATGCCCAGGGATTAGGTGGAATGTAACAGGACATTCTCATGGAGGTGGTAGTGCAGAGCAAATTATGAAGCTGGAGGATAGTAAAGTAGGTTTGGTGACATGTCTTGGACTTTCATTTAAAAATCAGCCAGACAGAACCTTCCTCTGAGGTCCTTTTCTTACATAGCAGGTTTTGACCCATTGCTTCAATACTGCATCTGATTTTTGCATTAGAAAAACTTTTTTTGTGTGTGGAAAATAGAAATCTTTCTGTAGGCCGTTTCTAGGAAATCTAGGGAAACTTGGGACTTTGTCCTCCCCTCAGCTATTTTGTGATGAGAACGTCTCAAGTTATTCTCCAATTTCTGTCTTCCTTTCCCTTTTCTAGCCAAACTGCGATCAGTATAAATTACCAGGATGTCCCAGGGACTTTAACCCCGTGTGTGGAAGCGACATGTCCACGTATCCCAATGAGTGTACTCTGTGCATGAAAATCAGGTAACAATTTTACAGTATAAACTAGCCAAGTTTTCTCTAGTTCTTATCTTGCATTTTTATTACTTAGGAAGTTGTCACTCTTGGACATAAGAATCAAATGAGACATAAGTAGTTCTATTTTAAGACTGACATTTAAAAAGACACAGACTCCTTCAGTACATTTTCTAGGTCAAGGTTAGAGAAGGAGGTGAGTGATTAATCAATTATAGACCAAATAATGAAGTGATGTTACTATCCAGGGATGGGTAGTTTCCCAAAATTAAGAATACATGTAGTAGTCAAACTCTGTGGAGTAGTAAATGTTCTATTAAATTCAGAGGGCATGTACAGGCGACCTACACAGCCTGCACTACTGGTCAGAAAACAGATCTTAATAACTCTACCTGTTAGAATGCTCAGTAATAAGTGTATTGATATTATACCTGATGCCCTTCATGTAACATACCTGACCAGCTCAGTGATCATGACTCCCCCTCCAGGTATGCTGCTCTGTATTTCAGGGGTCCATTCTCTGAACTCAGTCTTCAGGAAATTACTAGGTCTTCTCAGAGTGATTCTTTGGGGATAGTTCCTTGTGCCATTGGGTTAGGAAAAAAAGGGCAGAGTTGGGCTTTCGCCCTCATAATTTCCTAGATTTAGCTTTAAAAATGACTAATTAAGTGTCACCCTGGAAAGAATCTAATGTATAATGACATGGCTCTTTTTAATACAAAGAGGGGGACAGTTTCACTATGGTAGGTAATAAATGTGTTTTTATGGTTGTTCATTTTGCAGGGAAGATGGTCATGATATTAAAATAATCCAAAGTGGACCATGCTAATGGAACAGTTCACAGAAGAGAAATTGGAGAAACCACCTTTAACTGCACACTAAATGCATTTCATCTTCCCTTTTTCTCTTTTCCTATGTTACTTTGCGTGAAATACGTTAACCCACATTTTCTGAGATGAGGTATGGAAGAGAGCCATGGACTGTGACTAATAATTAAAACAAACAAACAAAAATACTTGTTTCTTGGCTTTTGCCCCTTGAGTTAAGATTATTGCCCAGATGACTTATGTGCTGCTTTATTTAGCTGGAATAAAATCAGCATCATATTCAATTACCACTATTCCCTGTTGAATATCCATTCTCACTCAGCAGCCTCATGTGGCTCTTTCCCTCTGAGGCAAAAGTGAATTTCACTAAGGGAGAAGTGGAGTCATTTTTTTAGAGGGCAAAGTTTATTCTCCTTCCCCATTTCCCTAAATCTTGGATAGGTGATGTATGTGTAACTGGTACAGTGTTCTGCACAGAGCAAATAATGTGAGATGAGACTTTAGTCTGAGCTGGTAGAGTCTAAGAATCATGCAGGTAAAAATACTTATAAGATTCCATAACTCCTTTCAAAACAGTGTTCCTTCAGGGTTAATGCAGGAATTTGCCTTTTCCCTTTTTTTAGGACACTGATTCTCAACCCTGGGTGATTATCCCCCAGGGGACATTTGCGACTATGTCTGGAAGCATTTTTGGTGTCACAACTTGAAGGGTGGGTGCTCCTGACATATAGCCAGGGATGCTGCCAAAGACATCCAGCTCCCAACAACCAGGAAATTTTCAGTCCAAAATGTCAGTAGTGCTGAGGTTGAGACATCCTGTCTTAGAGTTTGATGCAACATAAAGAACAGACATAGCAATAACAAAAGTGACGTAAGTTTAATTTAGAAAGGTAGTGTTTTCCAGATAAGAGGATTTTGAGTCAAGTCCTGGGTTTAAGTGCATTCCAGGGAACTGTGAGACCGTGAGGCAAGAGGTGGCTGGGAGAGTGTGTAGTGAAAAGAACATGGCTTTGGGGGATGGGCTAAACGTGAATTTGAATTCTGATTCCAACACTTACTTGAGCTTCTGTTTTCTTATCTGGAAAAGGGGGATAATGCTCAACCCATGGAGCTGCTGTGAGGAAACTGCTCAGCACAGCACTTGGCACATGGAAACCACTGAAATAGGCACTGTTACTTAAGTACCCCTCTTAGGGAGGAAGAAACTGAGGCCTGCAGAGGCAAACCAACTTGCCCAAGGTTATAGAATACATGCAAAACAGTCTGGACTAGAAGCCTGGTCTCTGAATTCCCAGACCTCTGTTCTTAAATGAAATAGAGGCAATGAAGTGGGAAGTTGTATAACATAAATGTGCCACAATTACATTATGTCCTGTAGTTATTTTTGGCTTAAAAGTTTTATAAAAGTGATGTACGATTTTCAGAAAGCTAAAAAAGTACACAGAGGGCTTCCCTGGTGGTAGAGTGGTTAAGACTCCACCTGCCAATGCAGGGGACACGGGTTCAAGCCCTGGTCTGGGAAGATCCCACATGCTGTGGAGCAGCTAAGCCAGCGTGCCATAGCTATTGAAACCTGTGAGTCTAGAGCCCGTGCTCCGCAACAAGAAAAGCCACCGCAATGAGAAGCCCGCACACTGCAATGAAGAGTAGCCCCCACTCGCCTCAACCAGAGAAAGCCCACGTGCAGCAACGAAGACCCAACGCAGCCAAAAATAAAGAAATAAATTTATTTTAAAAAATCCACAGAAATATATTTAAAAAGTGAAAGTCTTTCCCATACTAGCCTCCAGAGGTAACCAATATTAACCTTTCGGAACACAGTCTCCGTAAGTATGTGGTGTATATAAAATCACACACACACAGAAACACACCCCTGCCCTATAAACTTGCTTCTCTCCTTATATTTGTTTTTTACGTCAATGTATGTAGTCTTCTCTTTTTAAAAGCTACACTTAAAAGTATTTTATTGTGCCATAAGTTACCCAGCTCTATTGATCTGTAGTCAGATATTAGGAGTCTCGTGGCTGAAACTGGAAGAATCCCAATTCAAACTAGCCTTAGGTAAGGAGGAAATTGGCCCATTTAGTCATATTTGCAGAAGAGTGGGGGGACGGGGCAGGGGCGCATTAGCCTCAGAGGGTGCCTGGGACCAGGGCCTCTAACCCATCAGGACTCCCTGTCTCTTCGTGTCTCATCTCTGTTTATTTCAGCATAAACAGCTTCCTTCATAGACTAGCTTTACCCCCTGTGTGGGAGGCAGAATTGGCGGCTCCAGATCATATCCTAGCAGCTTCCTGACCTGACAGGAGATGACTCTTTTGTAACAGCTCCAGGTGAAAAAGTCTGCCTGAGTCACAGCCCCACTGCCTCACTACCTGAAAAGAAAATGACCCTTTTCTGGGCCAAGACAAATTGGTTCACGCTGGATCACACACCCACCCTTCAGGCCAATTGCTGTAGTCACAGGAAGTACGGTGATATGTGATTGGTTCAGCTGAGATGAGCACTTGGGTGCAATGTTCTCAGAGGGAAAAATTCAAGAAGACAAGATATCAGTAGATGTTAACTATAGGCTGCTTACAGTTTTTAATGATTATAAAACTATTTCAGAGAATATCCTTATAAATACATTCTTGGCACTTGAATGTTTATATGTATATATACACATGATGAAAATAACTTAAAAATATTCAGAAGAAAATTATGCTCATGTAGCATACACTAATCACCTGTTTTGCCCAGCAGCTCTTCCTTCTTTTGCTCCAAAAAAGCACTGTTTCTGCTTCCCACTCTCCTTCTCCACTCCACTCCAGACTTCTGGCTGAATGGAGCTGCCGCCTTCTTACAAGATCCTGTATCCCTGACCCTGGTGATAGGTTGAAGGGTGAGCACCTGGTCCAAATTAGACCAGTCATGACCAGTAATAATTCCCCCTACCCTGGTCACAGAGGTTGGTCTGCAGTGGGTTTCTGACCATTCAGAGTCCTCCCTCAGAGAAGAGCCCTTTTCCTTTTAGGTGGTGGGATTGAGAGTCTTTGTCAGTGAAAGCTGCTGGAAGCCATGATCCCTCACTACAGAGAAAGACTGCGGTAGGAGAGCATGAGGCCAATATGCCATGGGGAGCAGAGACCCGAGACCCAGAGAGTCTTGGTGGAGCTCAACATTCTGGTTCCAACATAAAAGACTCAGAATTGCCAAACTAATAACTGAGGAAAAAGAACAAAGCAGGAGGCATAACCCTCCTAGGCTTCAGACAATACTACAAAGCTAAAGTAATCAAAACATCATGGTATCAGCACGAAAAGAGACATATGGATCAATGGAACAGAATAGAGATCCCAGAAATAAATCCACAAACTTAGGGTCAGTTAATCTTTGACAAAGGATGCAAGAATATATGATGGGGAAAAGATGGTCTCTTCAGCAAATGGTGCTGGGAAAGCTGGACAGCCACATGTAAATCAATAAAGTTAGAACACACCCTCACACCATACACAAAAATAAACTCAAAATGGATTAAACACTTAAATATAAGACATGACATTGTAAAACTCCTAGAAGAGAACATAGGCAAAATATTCGATGACATAAATTGTATCAATGTTTTCTTTGGTCAGTCTCCCAAGGCAATAGAAATAAAAGCAAAAATAAGCAAATGGGACCTAATCAAACTTATAAGCTTTTGCACAGCAAAGGAAACCATAAACAAAATGAAAAGCCAAACTATGGACTGGAAGACAATATTTGCGAATAATGCAACCAACAAGGGCTTAATTTCCAAAATATACAAACAGCACATACAATTCAATAACAAAAACCAAACAACCCAATCGAAAAATGAGCAGAAATCCTAAATAGACTTTTCTCCGAAGAAGACAAACAGATGGCCAAGAGGCACATGAAAAGATGCTCATCATTGCTAATTATTAGAGAAATGCAAATCAAAACTACAATGAGGTACCACCTCACACCAATCAGAATGTCCATAATTAAACAGTCAGCAAACGGGTTTCCCTGGTGGCACAGTGGTTACGAATCCACCTACCAATGCAGGGGACATGGGTTCGATCCCTGGTCCAGGAAGATCCCACATGATGTGGAGCAGCTAAGCCCATACACCACAACTACTGAGCCTGTGCTCTAGAGCCTGGGAGCCACAACTACTGAGCCCACGTGCCACAACTACTGAGCCCACGTGCCACAACTACTGAAGCCCGCGCACCTAGAGCCCGTGCTCCACGACAAGAGAAGCCACCACAATGAGAAGCCCACACTCTGCAATGAAGAGTAGCCCCCACTTGCCGCAACTAGGGAAAGTCCACGTGCAGCAACAAAGACCCAATGCAGCCAAAAATAAATAATATAATAAATAAATATTTTAAAAGTCTTCAAATAATAAATGCTGGAGAGGGTGTGAAAAAAAGGGAATCCTCTTACACTGTTGGTGGGAATGTAAATTGGTGCAGCCACTATGGAGAACAGTATGGAGGTTCCTCAGAAAACTAACAATAGAGTTGCCATGTGATCCAGCAATCCCACTCCTGGGCATATAACCAGACAAAACTCTAATTCAAAAAGATACATGCACCATTATATTCATAGC